GTGCTCTTAGGCACCTTAAGTGCAGCAGAAATTTTTTTGTAACCTTGGCCAGATCTGTGCCTTGCCACAATTCTGTCTCTGAGCTCTTCAGGCAGTTCGTTTGACCTCATGATTCTCATTTGCTCTGACATGCACTGTGAGCTGTAGGGTCTTAGACAGGTGTGTGGCTTTCCTAATCACGTCCAATCAGTATAATCAAACACAGTTGGACTCAAATGAAGGTGTAGAACCATCTCAGGGATGATCAGAAGAAATGGACAGTACCTAAGTTAAATATATGAGTGTCACAGCAAAGGGTCTGAATACTTATGACCATGTGATATTTCAGTTTTTCTTTTTTAATAAATCTGCAAAAATGTCAAAAATTCTGTGTTTTTCTGTCAATATGGGGTGCTGTGTGTACATTAATGAGGAAAAAAATGAACTTAAATGATTTTAGCATATGGCTGCAATATAACAAAGAGTGAAACATTTAAGGTGGTCTGAATACTTTCTGTACCCACTGTATATGCAGCCAGAGCAGTATTTGCTATTTTTCTTCTTTCACTTGTTAATAGTTTGTTTTTCTGTGTATATTTACAGTAGTGTGTGCTGACATTCCATGTACATGCCGACGCCTGTTGCTCCTGTAATAGTTACTGTAAATTTTCCACATTTAGAAACACATTCTTAATGTGTGGTGACTTGCAAATGTAGTTCACAAGCTGGTCATGTTTTAAAATGTACAGATGCTAAATGTTTTAGTGTTTTGTGAAATTGCCATAAATGTATAAATTCCATTTTATGCTTATTATTGAGGTCATAGAGACACCTCTAAATGTAGTCCAGTACAGCAACACCTTTAACTGTGACCTCAATAATGGAATTTATACATTTAAGGTCAATTTCACAAAAAACAAACATTTTGAGCTTCATAAACACAGATGTTAAGGCAGAAGTGTTGCATTGAAGTGCATACAATTGTACAGGTGTACCTAATACTGGCTGATGAGTGTACATTTAATAAGCTTGTAAAAAACACAAAATGTGGGAACTCCAGGCTGCATCTGTTGCATCTGCTGAAGCATCATTGCTCTGCTTCTACGTTATTCCAATGGAACTACATATTTCTGCTGTGTAATTCAGACTCTAGATCAGCGGGAGAGGAAAAGAGTCGAAGAGATGGATCAACACACACAGACCATGCCACCTCGCAGCCTGGTAAGACGTGTGATGCTGCTGGTTGCCGGCGTTTTTGTTCTCAGTTTTTATTCATTTGTTTCATGTTCATCTAACAGGTCTGTCTGTGTGTCTAGGATGATGACAGTGTGCATAGCTACTTGAGTAGCATCCTCCCCACTCCCACCTCACTTTCAGAGTCAGTGGGCAGGGAAGATAGCGTGGTGAGTCTGCTCACTGCATCTGATTCCACCAATAAGAATCCCTGAGACTGACTTTGTCCCTCCCACTTTGAGTTTAAAGGTGCAGTCAGAACAAAATCTGACTGGTGAAATTTGCTCATGTGGTTTGAACAAAAGCAGGAGGAGCTGTGAAATATTGTGAGTAGACTTGAAAACATATCCGACAAGAGCTAACAGGGCTAGCAGGGGAACAACTGCAGTCCACAATGTTGTAAGTTATACAGCATCACTAACCCCCGTCACTGTGTTCACCCCTCCTTCTCTATTGCCTGTACTATTTTAGTGCAGCTACAAAACAAGAGTATAAACAAACATTATATCTAGAATGAGAGCTCAGTCCCACCGCCTCTGTCAAACCTGCTGGGTGGAGAACTCTGAGTGAATCAGAGCAGGTGGGTTGTTGTTTTTTTTTTTCCCACTTAAACATGAGCACAAAGTGGCTTTTGGTCTGAGTGCACCTTTAGTGTTCACCCCACCTTATCTGGGGTGTGCCACCTCAGGCAAGGGTCATCAGTCCAGATTTCCTACTTGGAAAATGCTGCTGGATGACGCCATGTCATGTGAACTTGATTTGATTTGATTTGATTTATTCTTTCAAGCATGTAAAGACAGTTGATATGACAACACACATAATTTTACACATATCCAATATCAATTTGCTTATACCTAGTACATGCTTGAATGGAGTAGGAAGAAGTCAGACTTATCCAGTCCTACCCCATGACATCATCTTACCATCATTGGTTTGCAAGCAGTACACACCCACAATGTTCCATCTAATTAATCATTAAACCTGTTCTTGCATGTATCTTGATTGACACATACCTTTATATTTATGTTTAAACTCATCAATTCTATTACTGTTTTTTTATGTCCACACTTAAATTATTCCATAGTTTTACCCCACTTATGGAAATACAAAATCTTTTTTTGGTTGTACGTATAGCATGAATTTTTAAATTTAACTGACCCCTTAAATTGTATCCCCCTTCCCTTTCATTAAATAGTTTTTGAATTCCACCAGGTAATAAATTGTTCCTGGCTTTATACATAAACACAGCAGTCTTATATCCCACTAAATCAAAACATTTTAACAATTTAGACTGTATGAAAGCTCCATTGGTGTGATCCCTGTACCCCATCTTATGCACAATTCTTATCGCTCTTTTTTGTAATATATACAATGGTTGAAGTGAGCTTTTGTATGTATTTCCCCAGTTTTCAACGCCATACTCTAAGTATGGTAAAATCAATGAAGAATACAAAATGCGTAGTGCTTTCCCGTCCAAAATATATCTAACCCTTGCCAATATCGATATATTTTTTGCTATTTTGTGCTGAACATATCTGATATGAGATTTCCAGGAGAATTTGTCATCAACTATGACACCTAGAAATTTAATTTCATGTACTCGTTCTACATTAGCTCCCCCAATTTTCAATTGAAGTTCATTATCTAGTCTGCGATTCCCAAATACCATAAATTTAGTTTTATCCAAATTCAGAGATAGTATATTACTGTCACACCATTTCTTTATCTTCTCAAGTTCCTGTGTAACCTGTCCAGAGAGTTGCTTTGGAACACTAAATACAAAACATGTTCTAAACAACATGGCACCAGCTGTGTTCAGGGAAACATTTAGTTTTACATTTATCAGGATTAATCTCGAATGTGTATGTGTTTTTTTTTTTTCTCTCTTTGGACTTCCAATCAGGAAAACTGGATTGAATGGATGTTGAACACCAAAAATTTCTTTGTTTCCTACTAATGGATGTTAGCACTGCTAATACCCACCAATTTATCCCTTTTTAGAATCCTTTTCTGTCTGATTATATAAACCTTTGTTTGCGTTCATTCACATCTTGGTGTTTCTCACGCTTGGTGTTGGTCCTGCAGCTCGAGGTGAACGTGGCGCGTCTCTGTTTACTTCCCACCTGCCATCAATTCTGCCTGCACCCGTTCATCCCTGCTTCTTTCATGTTCACGTCTTTGTCTGCAGCCCTTGGAAGGCGCAAACGAGTTCCTGCAGCTGCTGAAGAGCCATAAGGAAAAAATGGAGGAAGGGATGAGAGACCTGAGGAGGAAGAATGAGGAGCTAGAAAAGGAGAAGGAGGAGGGAGAGAAAGAGAGAGAGCAGATGCATCACTGCATTGAACAACTACGAGCCAAACTGGCCCAGGCGCAGGTGATCCAAGCATGCACGGATTCTACCCTGAGAACCAGTGCAAAAATGTGGTACTACAGAAAAAATTGTCACCTATAAAATTGACGGCTTTATGTAACTAAGCTGTGCTCCTCTGTGGCAGGTGGCAAACTGTCAGTGTTTATATACTTGTATGACAGGCCAGAATTTTTTTTGTGCCAAAGAAAAAATTCCAACCTCAAGAAAAGTGGTTGGTAGGTTCGCTTAAATCATATGTGCAACTAAAAACAAATGTGTTTTTACCAGTGGTTTCTGCATGACGGCTGCTATGCAGTAGCACACATCACAGTCAAATGAGACAAAATCAGTTGCGTTTAGATTCATGGGAAATCAGTTCAAGCATATTTTTTCCCCACATGACTGTCTTACGCTAGATTGCATTTTAAATTGTGATCACAGCGTATTATATTTGATAAAGCGAAGTAGAGTGGTTTAATCACCTAGCTCCTGTTGCTTGTCATTGCTGATGTTTCCCTCTGATATGTCTTGTTTGCCACTTGGGTAAGACATTCAGCTGCTTGTGAATGACGTCTCTGCATCTAGTAGAGATATTACAGATATGGACTTGAGGCATCTGCTTTGTCTCTGATCTGAAAGACTTATGAATGTTTCAACAGGTGAACAGTGTCGCTGAGGAGGCACTTCAACATCGCTCCGAGGCACAGCACTCCTCTGACTGGTATGACGTGTTTTCCCTTCAAAAACAAAACACAAATTGTTCTAAGCTGATTTTCTGTCATTAGCAGTAACAGGTCTGAGTGCTGGTTAAATTCATCTTAACTCGATAGTTTATCTGTGGCATAGGAACACATGCATACTTTTTAATTTCTGCGTCTTCTGCTTAACCAAAGCTTCACTTTTGAGATGTCTCCCTCCTCCTCCTCTTCCTCCCACTTCCTTTCCCAGCTCTAGCCTGGCTAAACTCACCGAGCAGCTTCAGGCCACACAGGGCAGGTGAGCCCACAGCTCTGTGTGGCTGTGTCTCTCTCACTGTGTGCATGTCTGCTTTCTACACTGTTTCTTCACCACTGTGTATCCGTTAGTAGTACTACTGCACTTGATTGTTTCTTACTTTAGAACATATGTTGTGTCTCGTATGTGTGAGTATTTTCTACTTGTACACATGGAATAGTTGAGATTATTTTTCAGTTTCTTCTCAGTCAGTTGTATTATTTAGTCCATATGGAGTTTAACTATCTTCAAACCTGCAGTTGCTGTCCTCACATTAAAATTATTAAGATCTGCCTTTTGTGAGGTTAGTTTTAAATATTAAAGTGGGAAAACCAAATATACAGGAACTTAAAGAGACTTGTGAATATGTTGTAGTGGAAAAAAAAACTTTTTCCTGAACAATAATGCCATTTAAATTGCAGTAATTTTCTATACATTAACCTAGATGCCTGTATTTGTGGTCCACATATCTTAACCTGCATCATTTTTAACAATGTACATTTGGCTAATTTAAAACATCTTTTTTTGTACATTAATAGATTCGGATGAAATTAAGCAGGGTTTTACCGCTGATGTCCTTTTTGGCTCCCAAGGATTTTTCTTCTCAGCTTTAAAATAAACTTTACTAGTTTTCTTTAGGAAGAAGTGGCCAGTGTAGTTCACATCACTATGTTATATATTAGTGGTTATGTTTTTAAAGAATTTAGCAATAATCAAACAACAGCTAACATCTAACAGCTAGCTAGCTGTCTCAAACGTACACGAGTCAACTTGCCATTCTATTGGTCTTTTATGAACAGCAAAAAGGCACAGCCTACATCTTATTTCAAATGCAAAAACCAGATAAAATGACAGAAGCCAGAATACAGACAGGATGTTCACCAGATACCAGAGCAATTCTTTTTTTGTTGTGTATCCAAGTCACAGTATCAGCTGGTTTATAGTAATCTGTTTTGTAGGCCTCTCTGGCCGATGGTGGAAAATACATTTATTCCAATATTTAATGCATTGTGATAGGTGAAAATACCCAATGGACTATGAAGCACCTCTGCACAAAACTGAAACCAGGACCTTTACTTGTAATGGAGCATTTTCATAAATGGTTTTACTACTTTTATTTAATTAAGGATCCAAATGCTTCTTCCACCACTACACATAATTTATGCTAATTAGATACCAATGAGTACATTTCCAGGCAGCTGTTGTTGACAAAAATTTTCATTTGCTGTAGTTTGATAAGACGCTGTTAATTAGCTTACTGTAATTGTATCCACAGTATAGTGTGTAGTCATCCATGTATACAGATTAAAACTCCTGTCAGTGTAGTGAAGTTAGCTGGCTTCTTTTATTTCTGTAGGTATCGGGAGCTGGAGGAGAAGCTTGATTACCTGCAGAAGAGTTCAGCTCAGCGGGACAGAACTGAAGCTCTGCTCAAACAAAAGGATAAGGACTGTGCTCAGGTATGTACTGCAATATGAAAGCTAGAAGCAGCAGTCTTAAAATATCATCAGTCAATCTGTTAGCTCAGAGCTTTTTGTATTTTTGCAGCTGGCCAAGGACTGTGAGGCTCTGAAAGCTCAAGCAACTTCCCTATTAGGAGAGCTGAATGAGAGACAGACCTGCCTGGAGAAAAGCGAGCAGGAACGCAAACAGCTAGAAGAAAAGTACGTTTTCATATCAGCAAAAATATGTACAGTACGGAGAGACTTCTCTGAGTTCCCCTGTAGCTGTGCAAGTGTGCAAATGTGTTTCTCTTTCTTTGTGTGTAGGCTGTGCAGTAAGGTGAAGTCCCTGCAGGTGGCAGAGCGGGAGCTGGAGCAACAGAGGAAGCAGCATCATGTGGCCATGGACAAGCTGCTGCTGCAGAAGGACAACCTGGAGCATGCCCTGAAGACAGAGAGACATGTTGTCACAGAGGAGAAGTGGGTTCCACACACAGATAGCAGTGACCCAACTGGTTATTACATGTCTGCACTATTGTGACATTTAGAAATATTTAGGTGCTTTACAGGGGATTTTCTCTAAACAAGAAAAAAAAATGTTAACATTTTGAATACTATTATACTGTATTAAACATTTGGTGAACAGAAAAATAGAAACCATTCCCAAAACTGTGCTAGCTAATCTTCTGTGCAAAAGATTTTAAAGATATTTATTTCTACTTTGCAGGTTCCATAATAATGCAATATATATGACACCACTGCCAGCACAATCCCTGAGATTTGGTGTATTACTGAATGTTAAAAATCTGTTTCCCTTTTTATCCTCAGGAAAAAACTGACACAGCTGCAGCATGCCTACACATGTCTCTTTAGAGACTATGATTCAAAGCTGAAGAATGAGGTAAAAACACAATTAAACATCTTTTTATTCCATTAGCTTAGCTATTTTTGTGTAATCTATTGTGGGGACAACAGTGGTGTGGTGGGTATAGCAGCTGTCTCCCCAATGGTGGGGT